GGACAGAGGCAGTGATTTCACAGGAACCTGGGCCAGGCCTGCCTGCTGGATTTGGAGGGTCACCTGGGGAAGTGGGGGGTGGCTGTGGCTCACCCAGGGGACGTAAAAGCTGGTGGCGGACATTCCAGGAGTGTTCATCTACACGAGCTTTCCTGGAGGCTGACATCTTGATGGGATCATTAGCACCAAGACCCAGCCCCACCCATCAGCAGACTTCCTAAGCCACAAAGGCCTCTCTCTAGACACAGCCCTACTCGCCAGAGGTCCAGGACCAGGCTGCACCCAGCAGTGGGCAGGCACTGGCTCCTCCTCCAGGAAGCCCGCATAAGCCTCTAGTCCAGCCTCACCCACCAGGGGCAGATGCCAGAAAGAAGACAACAGTCCCAAAGCCTGTGGAAGGAGTCCACACACACACTGAATGACAGGCGATATGAGGTGTATCCTGGGGGAGGAGTATCTCCCAGGCCAAGGCACGAGCTAAAATCCCAGAAGAAGTAAGTGACGAGGAAACAGGCAATTTATCTGAGACAGAGGTTAAAGTAATGATGGCCTAGATGTTCAGGGAACTCGAGAGCAGTACAGATGCACAGCGTGAAGTTTTTAGCAGAGTTGGAAAAGGGAAAGAATACTCAAACAGAGCTGAAGAATAAACTCACTGAAATGAACAGTCCACTAGAAGGAACCAAGAACAGACGAAACGAGGCAGAAGAACGGATCAGTGAGCTGGAAGACAGATTAGTGGAAATCACTCCTGCAGAACAGAAAAAAGAACAAAGAATGGAAAGAAATGAGGATAGTCTAAGAGAACTCTGGGACAACATGAAGTGCTCTAATATTCGCATTACAGGGGTCCCAGAAAGCGAAGAAAGAGAAAGGACCTGAGAGAACTTTGGGAGAGAGAATCACCAAACACTTCCCCAACTTGGGAGAGGACACAGTCGCCCAAGTCCTGGAAGCGCAGAGATCTCCACACAGGACCAGCCCAAAGAGGAGCACACCAAGGCACACAGTCACCAAACTGACAGCCATGAAGGATGAAGAGAAAATATTCAAATTAGCAAGAGAAGAGCAACAAACAACATACAAGGGAGCTCCCACAAGGTTTTCAGCTGACTTTTCAGCAGAAACTCTGCAGGCCAGAAGGGAGCGGCACGATATATTCAAAGTGATGCAAGGGGGAAACTTACAACCAAGACTACTCTACCCAGCCAGGCTCTCGTTCAGACTTGAGGGAGAAATCAAAAGCTTCACAGACAAACAACAGCTAAAAGATTTCAGCACCACCAAACCAGCTTTACAACAAATGTTAAAGGACCTTCTCTAGTCATCAAACCGTAAGAGAACAAAAAGAAGGGAAAAAAAGAGAGACCTCAAAAATTGTTTTGGCTGTTCGGGGTCTTTTGTGGCTCCTTATAAATTGTGCACTTGTTTGTTCTGGTTCTGTGAGGAGTGTCGCGAGCACTTTGCTGGGGGCTGCAGTGGAGCTGTGGGTTGCTCTGGGCAGCGTGGCCATTTTGACAGTGCTGATTCTTCCAATCCCAGAGCACAAGAAATCTTTCCATTTCTTTGTGTCATTTCAGTTTTCAGAGTACAGGTAACCTCCTTGGTTAGGTTTATTTCTAGGTATTTTGTTGTTTTTGAGGTAATGGAAAT